TCAAGACCTCAAAACGCTACTCGTATGAGTCAGAAGCGAAGCCAGTTTAAATATGAGTCATTTAGTCTTTCGTCAGGTTTTAAGAAATCTCGGTATAAACTAGGTTATTATTGATCATCGCCTCGTTTTAGCTTATAAATTATTGCCCGTGAATGAGTCTCAGTTAATCAGTGCAACGTCGGCAAGAAACATTAGCAACGTGTTCCTCGACTTCCCTTTTGGACGAAACTTACGAAACGCCTTGAATATTTAAATGTTATCGCATAACCAAACCGTAGGAATTGCTTTAAATAAACAACGCGATAAGTATCTTCGCGTCGTGGTGCATTGAACCGAAGCGTTGCGTCAGGACATAAAAGCAGTCCACAAACGACACCTACGTGCAGAATCTATCGTAATCCACGAATCGAGTCGCATTTGTGGAATCGATACCTCGTTCTAGGCGAGGTCGACATCGATGCCTAATATCGTGACAATCGTTTCAGTCGCGGACCTGCGCTTTGGCGATCACGAGCAAAGAAACTAATCCATAATTCGATTAACCCTGAGGAACTTTAAAAAATTCCATGTTCGTCTGATATCAATTATAATAATAGATTATTTAAGATATTTTTCCTATTACTAAATCTAACAATATCATGCTTATCTAGATCAAGGGACAATTTATTTAACGAACACAATTCTTGAAGACTGTCAAGGTCATTTGAAATTAGTTGCATTGTGTTACATTGATTATAGAGGCATTTATAAGTCTTACGATCATCGACATGTAATAAAAATATTTAGTGTGTTGGAATACTTTAGTCGTGAGATTTTGACCTGGAAACGACGTACGAGCCTCGATGAAAAAGTTGACAAAGCGTGAACGCTAATTGCCAAAGTACGCAACACCGAGGCTCGAATAGATCGCGGGTACGATCGACCCAGATCGCGAAATCGTGAGATGATGGGCGTCGCCCGGTTTTCGGCCTGCTTCGTCTTCCTGGTATATAACGGAACGATACGACGAGCCGAAAACTTTCTCCGACGCTGACCTATTATCGGGCCGCCATTATTGTCGTTGTTCGCGCAGTCGGTTAAGGTTAGTGGGTAACCGCAGTTGCTGAATTACGAGCCGGGTGTCTATTGAACGAGGTTCACGTTTTTCAGACTAGAACGATACTTTGCGCAAAACACATCCCAGCCACGACCATAGAAATCTTCGTGAGCAATATTTTCTTAGATTATCAGCCAATCGATGCGGTTAAAACGAAACTCTGGGTAAAATGTTGACCTATTTAAATCAATGAACGCTATAAAAATATGCCCCACTTCAACTTTAATCGAGACAATAAACGAGCATAATTCGTGAAAAAACAAGTCCAAAGTGTCCCACGATATTTCTCCTCCCAGAACGTCGTTCTCGAGAAAATCGAGCTGAAAGTTTCTCGGCGCGCCCAGATGACTCGCGCGCCGCGCGCATATTCAAACCTAATTTTCTCGAATACGACGCTGCGTGAGACAAAATATCATACAACACTTTCGATTCGTTTTTTCGCGACGAATCATTTTCTCCTCGGTTGTTTTCGCGAATCGTGCTCTAGTGCTACTGGAAACGTTGTTTTCTATCGTTTCCGTTCCAGATACTTCGACCACGACTGTCTGTTTATCGTCTCGATTAAAGTTATCCTGTCGAGCCTGGTCGCGTGGTGTACCGCGAATTATGCTTTGCACGATCGCGGTACGACGAATTACGCTCGCCGTGTCCCGTTAGCTCGGCGATCGTTCGAACGGTCCGACGTTCCGCGTAACGATCCAAGGAAACGGTCACCGATCCACGTCCCCTCTTAATTGCTATTAATCGTTGCGCGTTGCTTGCACGGTCCGCGGCGCAACAGCGTCGCCGGAAAGGGGATTTTCCGCGAAACGCGTCGCCGGTTACTGCGGCCCTTCGCGCTCCAATGGCTTCTTGCGATCTCTAATTGCGGACACCTGTTCTAATTGCTCCGAACAATCGGTCGCGGTCATGCTCGAAAACAATCGGAATTCTAGGCTCGCGCTGCACGATGCTCCTTTCGTTGGGTTTGCGGTATACGGGAAACGCAAACGTTTGAACGTGCCAACGAACGCTCACCGCCGACTGTAAATTAACCGATTAACTTCGCGACGCCGAGACAAACTCTGGCTCCCGTAGTATGGAAAATTGATCACGGCCATCAAAAATACGAGGCTCGTTTCTAACTTGGAAATCCGTTTCTCGTTTGCGTAGTTAAATACACAAAGACTTACGAAACGATCAAATATATGTTCGAGAAACAGGTTCTTGGAAGGCGAGTGAGATCCATTCTTCCCGAACAGATTTTGTCTCGCGGCGTGGAAATTTTTAGCCAGACTCGGAGACGAAAAATAAAAGCTCCCGTCGAACGTACCTCGACGCGCGGCCGAGTTTGAAACGTAGCCTCGGAAATTCCATTTCTATCGCTAGAAAACGAGACTCCGGCGCAAAATCGAAAATAAAACAATCGCGATATAAATACGCCGCAAAGTGAAACGCACGGGTTCGGTTTTCCATTAGTCGGTCGTACGTGTTCGCGGCGTCTCATTATACATAGTCGGCTGAATCTCACGAGATCGTTAATTACGAACACTTGCTCCAATTACTTGAGACAATCGTGACTAACTAAAACTCGTCCCGTTAGACGTTCACGGATCGGCGCGGGATCAACGCCCTCTAAATATCAACACGGTTTTCCTATGTGAATCGGTGAATCGACGACCAACAATAATATCTTAAACGAAAAGTTCTTAATTAAGTCGTGGATCCTATTTAATAAATCACTAATTCCGCTTGTGTTTTTAAATATTGTCGCTGGAAAATTTTTAAGATACGACATTTGATGTTTGAACGCAGAAATAAATCGAACTATGAAAATTTCTGAATTGTAATACTAAATTACGATATTGTGTGATTTCAATGCATGTACTATGTCATGCAATGATACTCAAAGTATCGAAAACTAGAAACTACGAAATATCAATAGAATCAGAATGGGTTGCACAAGTATAATTTGAATCGTTAATTCTAGTTTTAATTTTGTACTTGTCTTCTCATTATTCACAATAATTTAAATTGGAACGGACCAAACTAAAAATATGAAGGTTTCGAAGCTCGATTACGTACAAAAACCAGACGATGAATACACGTAAATGGAAAATTCACAACGAAGAAAGATGTTTTTCATCATCTGGCGATTATCTTACACCGTCAATTACGAATAGAATGGTTGAAATAAGCCTCGAGGTCGTTGCGGAGCCTTGAGAACATGAAAGTTTTTTTTCAAAGGCGTTACTTAACTTCCATTTACCAAATAAACCCTTCGATCTTTTATAAAGAAAACAAAGGAAACGCGATTCACGGCGATCGCAAAGTTTCGCGTGCGTGTTCGGTTAAGAAATCTTGAAATTCACTTGTGACTACGATCGCGTCGATTTCTCTGTAATCTTGGTCCCTCGCGGGACTTTTCTTTCGTCCTTGCATCCCCTCGTATTTCTCGTAGAGATATCTGATGGGAAAGGCTCGTTCGGATTACGCGATGGAGACGCGATAATGATGATTACCACGTCACGGTCGTGCAAGGACTGCGGACATTTTTCTCGACGCTTTGAAATTCTACACCGGTGCAATTACGATATAAATCAATCGTTTCCACGCGAGGAATTAATAGCCGCGAACGGATAACGGAATTTTCTCGCGATCGGTGCGTGTGTTTTAGACAATCGTGATTCCAGCCAATAACGCCGAGCATTGCGTTTGCACGGGTAACGTTCGACAAAACGACACGACGTCGTTAAATGGAAACGAAACACGCGATTCCGGTAACTGTACGTACAATAAATTTGCGTCTTTTCGTGAAAGATCGTTTCGAACCTGGAATACTATAGCGGTTATAGTGCATTCCTCGCTGATTTTTGCCACAGATTTGTTTGCAATTTCTATGAAACGCGTTTGTGCCCTCGTTGATCGATAGACTGTAAAGTAGAAAACTTTGTGTTACGTGGAACCTAGTTGATAATAATTTTGCATAATAAGACGATCTTCTTAAACCATTTATACTTTACTTTCTCTTATTTTCATGGTCGGGGTATACCGTTCTACGATTACTGCGACGGTACTAACGAGATCATAGTTATAGTATTGCAGGTTTAATATTTATTAGTTATCGAACTTCTTTTATGAAATATGTACGAATCAAACTATTTTAAGTAAAATAAATTTCGGTCACTTATGGAATATATGTATAATACTTATCGGGTCCCTGAAACGAACGTTCCAAACCCACAAATAACGTTTATTTTTTACAAACTTTCTCAGAGTTCTCATAAAAATATGCGTCCGTTTCGTGCGTGTAATTACTATAACCATTTCTCATTCAATTTCATGCAGAATTCAGGATTAAGTGCTTTCTCTAGAATTAATATTAAAGTTAATTATATAGAACAATGAAAGGAAGGAAACAAGCAAAATAAGAGAGACATACGATATCCAGTTTATCCTTCATCTTTGAAAGTTCATTCGAATGAAATTTTATTCATTCGACCAATCCTCGATCGTGCTATCAATCCATCTTTAAATAAATTCCGACCCGCTATAATTGCCACCCCTCGAATAAATTCCTGAAACTAACGAAACGTTCAAGCCTGAAAAACTGTCCCTAGACGTGCAAAAACAGAAGCTGAAGTGACTAGTATTATAAAAAAAAAAACCATCCATAAATAAGCTCCTACCCGTGACTAACTCCACGAATGTTTAATTATCAAAACATCCCTGAATGTAAAATTAATCGTGAATAAAAGACGCGAGCAATGAGATCGTAGTTGGGGGATTAGTTGTCACCTCGAAAGCAGCCATAGTACCCGATCCCTTAATGGAGGACCAATGTAAACCCTTTAACGTAACGTTGTGCCGGCTGACGGGGCTAATACGACGCTTTCGATGTTTTTCTCCCGGCGTCGCGACGCAGGAGAGCGACGGTGGTTGCGATGGTAGCGACGCCGAGATGATCGGTAACGGGAGACGCGGAGGAGGAACGGAAAGGGATCGCGATATGGAGGAGGATGAGGACGAAGGAAGGGAGGAAAGGAGCTCGGAGGGTGGAGGTGGTGGAGGTTTCGGTGGTTGGAGGTCCCATTTGCTCGGTGGACTGACGCAACGTGTCAAATCCTGGTACTGGGGCGCCAGGCCCCTCGTAAGTTTTATAACCAAACGAACCACAACACACAGATCTACCACGCACAGATACTTATTTCTTTTTTTTTTTCGTTATCTGTCACGATTTATTTTTGTCCTTTTGTTTGTTGCGAGCCGTTCCGCGACGTTCGATGCTCTATTGCCAGCGCACGAACACTTCGAATCGCTTCGAGCTACGTTCGAACTCGAAACTTTTCCAATTCCAACGATCCCGGCTATCTTAACAAATTCGGAGACTCTCGAAAGCTTCGTAACGCGTTCCATCGAACAAGATAAAAGTTTCCGTCGATATACGACAGAGTGACCGAAGTCTGGGTCAGATATATTGGCCGTTCAAGGCCACCGAGGTCTCTCAGTCGTCTCACCGCGCGAACTTACAGATATGCGGATCCTGACTCTCGAGGTGTTACCTTAAGCGACCACTTAAGTTTAATCAATCTATAACACATCGTACTTTCGCGAGAAAAATGACAAGTGAAATGAGTAGCAATTATTCCATTCCTTTTTTTTATAAGGGCAAAAGCTTGTGGTATAAAAAATTTTAATAAGAGTTTCGAGTCTTTCGAATTCGTTAAGACTGGTCGAGATCATCGGAATTTGCTTCTCAGAGTTTCGAACACCTTTTATTCCCAGTGATTCGAAATTTCATACGACCGAGCCGCTTTAAAACCGGCAAAAAGAAATAACGCGACTGCCCACCACTGTTTGCAACTCACGAAAGAGTGGAAGAGGGAGGAGATACAGCGGTGGCAGCTTTCGATAGAACTTTACGCGAGGGGTAGCTTGTTTATATTCGAGTTTTAAATATGATTCCAAAATTTTGTTTTACATTTTAATAACGTCCTTCAAGAAAAATAGATTCACGAATATTTAATAATTCTACTGTATATTTAATTTTCGACTAATTTCTATTTCTCGTCGAGATTTCGGTAATAATTTATATTTTATTCTTAAAATTCTATCAATTTCATTCGTGTCAAGAACTCGGTGCTCAGGCGTGAAATTAATATTCTTCTAATTTTGTTTTACAACCGGTCGTATTTATCGTGTAGAGCTGCGTCCAGGTACTCGATTCTGTCGATACAACTTGGGGTCGGGAGTATCCCGAACGATTCGAAACACAATTAAATCCGCTAAAGACGTCTTTGTTCATCGTTAGTCTCATCTTCTTAGAACCAACGTATAGATGAAACTATAGAAAACCTAGACTAGTGTAACATTTAGAACACCCTCGTCCGAAGTTCTTTCCTAGAAACGGCAGTAGAGCGTAGTAGCGATAGTTAGACGAAACACGAGATAGATGATAAGCGTCTCTAACGAACATTTTAGTTTACGACAGATAGAGGGGGAAACTTCCGGCAGAGTTGTGCGAGACACGTCGGAGCTGAGCGCAGCTCAAGAGTTTTGGTCTTTTCCGAGTTCACGTTCACCCTGGCGACGCGAAACTTTTTCACACAGTCGTTTCTGCGAAGATGCATTAAACGTCGAGAAAACTCGCGGGTGGAAAATTTCGTTTCGCGCTGGAATAATCTCCTTGCCGATCGACAGTAAATTGAATCCGTTCTCGAATTCCCGAATATTCATTTGGCGGGAATTTCAAAATTTCCTGATTCGTTCACGAGCCGCGTTAAAAATGCGTTCTTCCAGAATCATCGAAAACTTTTCCAGCCAGAGTGCGTGAAACAATGAAAACATTCGAAATCGAAGCATCATCCAGTGACGATTCGAGCCATCGGAACCGATCATACCCTTTGGCATGAAAGTTCTCCCAATTTTAGATTCCTTTCTTTTTATGCTCTTTCACTTATCTCTTCTCACACACTCTCTCTCTCTCTCTCTATCTCTGTTTGTTTCACTTTTCTCACCAAGATCAATTTCCTTTTTGCTCTTAGAGCTAGCGAATTTAGTCGAAATAGCGATAGGTGTTGTACGTGTTTTTTCTTAGATGTCTTGCACATGCTACTTTTCGATTTGTCCTCACTACTATTCAAGCACGACTAATGTATACCGTGCATATAATTATATACGCGGCCCCAACTGTGTATAATTATACGCGCGTATGCATATATCAAAGTATATTTACATAGATGTCTTGGCATGCACGATCACTTTACTCACATCGATAAACAGGATAGCGATTCGCGGACGGGGATTCCCGTAGAAAACGGTCGACGAAAGGACAAAATAAAGGTACCAGTTCGTTCGTTTCGTTCGACCATAATTGATATTAGAGACGGCGAATACGATCGCCGCGATTATAGATCTGCGTAGATATCACGATAGAGTATCACCCGTAGAGCTCGCAAAAGAAGAACACGCGTAGGAAGAAAGTTTCGATTCGACGATGAAACACCCGGCTATCGATGACGATAAATCAGCGGAGAAAGTACGGATCAGAAGTTTTCACGTCGAACGAGGAAACTCGTGGGACCACGGAAAATCTGCGGGACGAACGATTTCCCGACGAGTTTCGTAATTATCGCGCGATCTCGGAACGTAGCTAGAACAGAGACAAATTTATTAATCGACAATTATATTTTTTTTATTTCAGATCATTGTCAGCCTCTCGTTTTTCTTTTTGTTTTCGTTCGCTCGTCGGAAATCCCCTAGCGGAGGCGCGATTTGGCTTTTATTTCGGGCATCCGGGTAGGAAGAGAAATTCGCGGACGCGAAATACTTTCACCGTTCGGGATTTCGCGTTTCTCCGTGTGCGAGAAACGTTGTTCGCGATTAACTCGGTTTCCATGGCTGTCGACCGTGACCTACGCTTCCGTCGGAACGCGTCGGCGGCGATATAACGAGGGTCGCCCCGCGTCGATAACGAGAGCTTCGAAAACGCGACGCGTTCACTGCAGATTTAACGAGCACTCGAACCTTGGAACCAAGAAATTTTAGCCAATTTTACCGGGAAGCTTCACCAAACACTTTTACGATCCACAAGTATTTCGAAGTTCAACGCGGAAATAAAAAAAAAAGACAATAAAAGTTCCGGTACCCTGCTCCAGATATTCCAGCAATCTCCTCCAACGAGCTTAACGAGCATTTCGTAATTTTGACCAGAAATTAACACGATCGAAAAGTTTAACGAGAGTTTCAAAATTCGACGAAGACAATTTCCTTCGTGGATCGTTCCGACTCCCATCATCTCTCATAATTTCTTCTCTCACACGTCACGAACGACGATCGACGCTACTGTCATACTTGCTGCCACTATTTACCATCGAAGAGAGGCGATCACGGATCTGATTAATAATCACGATACTTGAATAATCGCGCGACAACACCACCACTACCACCACCACCACCACCACTCTGTCCGAGCACCACCAAACACCCAACTGCTACCAGCCTATCAGCAAGCATGACTTAATTTTTTAATATTACTCTTGTGACCTATATCGATATGTATTGTCATACTTACGTTTCTACACGATGTTATGTACGATTGCATATAGGTACCGGGAGATGTGCACCGTTGTGGAGAAGCGAACCCGGTAGGCAAATCAAGTTGGCTGCAAACTAAATGCAACTCGGCCAAACCATCGACTCGAGAACGCTAAACACACCTCCGATAAACTTTAATCCTCAGACAACCACGCTGAATAGAATTACCCGCGTCGAGCAATATGTACTCCGATGTACAATATTGTCTCGCTCGTTGATCGAATCTCTCCCTCGATAACTGACTGGGGAACCATCCTCACCACTTTCTAGCTCGATGTAAAGAAGATCTGAGGAAAATCATCGTTGCCTTCGGTCGGTAACTGAGAAAACCGGCAATCAGTGAGATAAAATATTTGTTATTGGAACTAAATTAAAAAGATCTATCGTAGTATTCAACTTATACTTTGAGGTTAAATTCTACGTATTCTGTTTTTAAAGAGGATTTAGGGTTCTAAAAGAACTGTAGTTCTTGAAGGATATTGCTACAGTTTAAAGAAATTCCTAAAAGCAGAGGAAGACTAACTTTAAAATGTCTTGTATCATTTTGCAATCTGAAGTTTCACTATCAAGACACAAATAGTGAAAAGTATGGGTTTCTTATATTCGAGTGTGCATTAGCATATTCATTGTTCTCTATAGTACGAAGGAGTTTATAAAGAAACAATTGAATCGGCTATTTTTGAATATTTTTGTTGCTGTCGAAATTAAGAAGTAAAGGAGATACGAATTAAAAACTAGAAATATATTATTGTCTGAATTGTATTTCGTATATTGTGTCTTTTTGTCTATGAGATACGTTTTCATGCCATTCGTGCGATACAAAATCCTGACCGGCAGTGGAATAACCTTTTTCAACAATTCTGATCGCTGAACCTGAATTCCATCCAGCGAAAATCTCTTCAGTTCCCCAGTGTGTGGTCATGCGCTCGGCTGATTGAAATAAACCTGGCGTGCGCCGGAAGTCACACCAGTAAAACTTTAATTGCTTCTATCTCGATAACGAAGCCTCGGATTGCAAAAAAAATTTATCTTGAAAATAGATCTCGCATTTTTGTCGACACACATCGATGCTGCCTAAAAGTGGAGGTTCTTATACACACTTACACCTCGTTTAATTAATTAATTATTATAAACAGAGGTCTTATAACGAGTATACAGCTTCATATATATTATTCTCATACTTTAACGGAATACCCTGTACGTTAATACTGTATATGTAACATGTACGTTGTAGTTGACAAAGTGGAGCATTTTGTTCTTAAGAACTACAATATAAAGAAGATATACAGTATTTTTAACTTTATATCCTCTTGTAGAGAAACAGATTTTATCTTCAGTTCTGAGATCAGAGTTTTACGATCGTAAATATTACATAAAAACCTGTGCAGGATAAAAAGTAAGTCAAAGATTTTTTAAGGGACGGTCTCTAATATAATTTGTATCGACCGTATGGTTGTCTGAGGATCGACTTAACACTTTGCACATATACTTTGACTCTTTCAAATTTTAATTTTCCAAACTGCGCTACTCACGTTCGACCACGAAACTTTGATCGTCAACTTCATTGTTTTTAAATTACTCTGTTGGTGTACTTTCGTTCGTATAAAGCACCCGTTCTATTATGTCGATTAATTCGTAAGAAAGTTTAAAGTTTATCTCGTAACCAACTTTACAGACTACCAGGACTCCCTTCGACTACAGCGTGCACACGAATTCGTCAGCATCAGCCTCTTTAGCTCTTGTGTGCTGTCATCGTGCGCGCGCACGCGTGCCTGAAACGACTTTGACAGGCCACGTGACAGCCACCGTGCCTCGAAAAATGCTCGAAATGTTCCGTCGTCTCTCGTTTCGGCATTTCTACGAATTTAAATGCACTTCTCAACCATTTTTCCACTCGCTGATCGTTTCTTAGCCATTCACCCACCGTTGAGAATGATTATCTTCGTACGAAAATAATTATGGATTACGTATTCGGCAGATTATTCTGAACCAAAAAAGTTGTCCAGTATGGGACCATTTGTGTTTGTTATGGAGAAAAATGTTGTACTCTAGTTTTGATTCAGATACAGTTGCGTTCATTATTTACAGTAATGTCTACTTTCGAGTGTTAACTTTCACATTGGATTTAATCGAGGGATCGTTATTGGCTTTGGTTCGAGACAAAATTAACTATTATTAAAAGCGAGACTACATGCAGTTTTTATGTTTCCCAGCAGAAAATACGCTGATAAGAGTAGACAAACAATGGAGTTTGTATCAAATAAAAATAAAAAATAAGAGAAAGAGACACAGTAAAACGTCAATATTTGCAGAAACAAAAGAACACTCCTATAATTACAGAGATTCGTGCGCTTATCGAGATAATAAATCTGAGAATCCCCAACCGCGTAATATATCTTCGCTATCTATGACCTATGCTCGCCACTCGTTGATAAACAACATCCCTTCCACTTGCCAGCACGGTTTCATGATCGAGGTCGCGTGCAACTATCAAGGTCCCACTTTATCGGAGATCTATTATACCCGATGTGTTTTACACCGACGGATGGAAATAAACCCATACTGTGCACGACCTTCTTGGTTCAGAATGATCTACCAAATGTGGGTGGACATTGGATACATCGTGGGTCACTTTCTACGAATCGTTTCGATATCAAAGAGTAATTCTTCCACCCACTATTAGCTATTACATATTTGGTTGTCGAGAAAGTTCGTAGCCAAATTTGGGTTCTATGAAATAGAGAGATTTAAGAAAATAATTTCTAATAATCCACGACGACGGTGGCCGTCACGATGCTGTGAAGTCGACCGGAAGCCCGGTTGCTCAATTCCCGCCGGTGAAACGTAGCTCTGCCCGTTTCAGGAACTCGCGCACAAGCTCTCACGAAGCTTCGACATGCAGGAAGCGCAGCTCCTCGAGGAGGGTGGTTCCGGTGGCGGGTCCGCCGGGGCTGGAGGCGCTGGAGGACCCCCACGAAGACACCACAGCGCTCAAAGGCTGGCCAGGAGCGAGATGTCCGAGAGAAGAGAGGAAGACGGCGCCCTGGTGGTGCCGGATCACCAAGGGAACCTGAGGATCACCGTCAAGAAGACCAAGTCGATTTTGGGTATCGCCATCGAGGGTGGTGCCAACACCAAGCATCCGCTACCAAGGATCATCAATATACACGTAAGTTAATAATTTACGTAAAATTATCCTTATTCGCCGAAAATAACCACCTTCGATTTTTAAGCCATAAAATACTTCTCTTGTATTTAAAATTGTAAAAAATATTTATACTATACAGGGTGTTTGGCCACCCCTGGAAAAAATTTTAATGGGAAATTCTAAAGGCCAAAATAAGACAAAAATTAAGAATATCAATTTGTCGATTGGAGCTTTTGTTAAAAAATTATTAAAAAATTAAATTAAAAAATTCCAAATCATACACGGAAAAATTATTTTTGGTTGCGGAGGTCAATTATAATCATGTTTCGTGGATACACATACCCCTGAAATTCTATCCAGTTTCGAGAAAAAAATTCGATATCGAAAATATAATGTCTAATCATGAATGAATGACTCCCCTGAAAAGTCTTTCAAATCGTTCTGAAAAAATTATTTTCGGTTGCGAGGGTCAATTGCAATCATTTTTTATGAATACACATACCCTCGAAATCCTACGCATTTTCGAGAAAAAAATTCGGGAAGGTGGACGAATTTTTCGACAAAATTCAAAAATTTCAAATCGTTTTGGAAAAATTATTTTCGGTTGCAGTAGTCAATTGCAATCATTTTTGGTCAATAAACACACCTCCGAAATCCTACTCAGTTTCGAGAAAAAAATTCATTACTGAAAATATAATGTGAGGCCTGAATAGGGTCTCCGAAATTTCATGTAAATGTTTAAAACATCATAACTCCTGAACGGATTGGACGATTTTAAAGTTTCAAACCGCAAACAACGCGTATTTTAATGGAGAATATGTAGAAATTCGAAAAATATTGAAAAAGTTGTTCGTTGGGCCCATAAAGTTAGAAAAACCCCATAAAACTGGTCCAATTTTCAAACGACCATACCTTCCACTATAGTAAAGCTATCTCATTGAAACTTTTTTCTGAAGCAGAGCCCATGGGCACCTACAAAATAGTATTAAACAACTTTTCTGTAGAACGTCAAACAAATGTATTAAAAATGGAAAACAAACTTTCAAGAAAAATCGATAAGGTAGGTGCCTACATTTTTCGACGAAAAAAAAAATTTTCAAATCTTTTTGGAAAAATTATTTTCGGTTGTGGGGGTCAATTACAACCATTTTTTATCATTAGACATACCCTTAAAATCCTACCCACTTTCCAGAAAAAAATTCGTATAGGTGTGAAATTTTACGACAAAATTAAAAAATTTCAAATCGTTTTGGAAAAATTATTTTCGGTCACAGGGGTCAATTACAATCATTTTTAGTCATCAGATATACCTTTAAATTCCTACCCACTTTCGAGAAAAAAATTCCTGTAGGTGTGAAATTTTTCGTCAAAATTAAAAAATTTCAAATCGTTTTGGAAAACTTATTTTCTGTTGTGGGGGTCAATTACAATTATTTTTTATCATTAGATATACCCTCGAAATCCTGCCTACTTTTGAGTAAAAAATTCATTACCGAAAATATACTGTGTGGCCGGAAATGTTTCTATAACTTTTTAACGAAGCCTCAATCAACAAATTAGTATCCTTAATTTTTGTCTTATTTTGGCCTCTAGAATCTGTCATTAGAATTCTCATTACGATTACAATAATATTTTTTTAAATTGACCCAGACGCGACTCGTAAGTTGAACATTAAAAGGCCCAAGTTTCTTCGATATTAGAACAACTAGACGAAGATTGAATTCTAGAAAACTTCGAATGTTATTTATCATTGTCAATACATTAGATCGTGAAAAGTGATGGTACGCGGTTATAGACATAATTATGTCGGTAGTTGAGGTGTTGATAAATTGTTATGTTCGCAGGATAATGGCGCAGCCTACGAGGCTGGCGGTTTAGAAGTCGGTCAATTGATTCTAGAAGTTGACGGCCACAAAGTCGAAGGTAATTTCTGAACTATCAAAGTGAATTTCAACATAATAGTTTAGAAAGTATTTAAAGAAAACTGTATTATCGTAAGTTCTTGCACGAAGAAAATAGTAAGAGCGCACAGTATCCTTGAACAAGAGACTACCGCCTCGGTTGGTCCCAAGAAGACAACATTAATTCTTTCATGGATTTCTTTAAATTTTTGAAAATTCTTCTTCTTAAATAGAAATGAATTAAATATTTTATTTACGTATATCTTTGTAATATTCAATTGTACTAGAAAGATACATAATAGATCCATTTATTTCATAGACACTGACATTAGTGCCATGAGTTTGCAATAAAAAGGTCAAGCGTGCCGCTAAATTAAATTGATTTCGACCGTGTGCGGACATGCCTGGTGTATAATATTGCGATTAAATAGGGTGTATATAGGCTCCTGTGCCTAACTGTAACTGACATTACGATTCAAGTCGCAAACGATCCCCAAATGGTCGCGATCGTATTACACATTGCCAACTGCTAATGGTTTGCTCAAATTTTCTGTGGTATATGATTATTCTTAAAGGCATGCGATAAAACAATTATATTTTAATCAGAAACATTTATAAATTTCTCTGGAGGAGAAAGGACAATTTTAATATCGTGTACCAGTTACTTCCTCTAAACTAAGAAATCTAACGATTCACGGCGGTGCCTTCGTAAAAGGAACGAACTCGATTATCGTCCTCTTCTTTCGCAGGTTTGCATCATCAGGAAGTCGCGAGACTGATCGCCGAGTCGTTTGCGAGGCGCGACCGCAACGAGATCGAGTTCCTGGTGGTCGAGGCGAAGAAGAGCAACCTGGAGCCGAAGCCAACGGCTCTGATATTCCTGGAGGCGTAGCAGGAATCTCCCACCTCCGAGCCGGAACCACCGTAGCACAACGTGACCAGAGCTCGACCCGCGACACGCTTAGAGCGTCGTCAACGCTGAACCGCCAACGAAGCTGACGAGAGCGTGGAGAAGGAAAACGAGGCGAAACGAACGAACACAGAGGGTCGAGAAGAAGAGCGGATACGCGCCAGGACAGAAACGAGGACGTGCTCTTGGTCTTCTCCGTACGCTCTCGACTCTGCCGGTCGAGCTCTCGGTCAGGCGCTAATCGAACCTGGCCCTGGTGGTGGGAACTTTTTAAGAAGAAACAGAAGAAACAAGAAGCGCCGTACGAGGCGAGGAACGACGTTAGGCGGCGAGAGAGGCTCGATTAACGAGTCAATGGGATGATAATTGCACGGTCGTCGACGCCACTGTTGCTGTCCTCGTTGCTGACGAGCCTTCGGGCTAACGGAACCGGTACCGGACGCTTCTAGGCTTGCCCTTTCGAGCCCCGGCAATGTTAAAAAGGACGCGAGCGTGGATCACCGGTGGGGAACTGCAACGAGGAACGCGAGAGGCGACGATCCCGTGAAAGAAACGGAGAAAACGAGATTGCCTGTGGAGGGACGTTGACGAGAGACGCTTTAAGTGCGAAGAAAATTACGTAGAGAAAGAGACGGAGGATGTTGACTGTGCCAAACTCATTAAGGATTGTTTCGTGTATAGTAGTTATGATACTATTAATCGTAAGGGATCTAACAAGGACTCTGCCCAAAAAGGGGGAACGTCGATCTTAGGGTTCAGGTACACCGTTGAGGGATACTGGGCGACCAAGACGCATGGTGTCAGTGTCGCGTTCGTCCCACGGAAATTACGGACACAATCACGAACCGGAGTTTTCGCGCGTTAGCCACGAAACGTGTCTCGACGCCGAGCACGTCGCGACTACGAAGATTCACTGTTGACTAATGCGTTATCGAAGGTACTGGACGTTCACGTCGATCAGGATTTTTGTCGGCAAAACCTCTTCTGGTACGGTGCTCGATGCCGTTACGACGACACTCGGGCTGTCGCCTCTCGAGAGAAACGCGGATACTCATCGGCGACACGGCGAATCGGAGTTGCAAATTATATTTTTTGCGAGACGTCGGACTTACTTTCTGTAAATTATCCACCATTTCCCGTCGGGATCTGCTTCTCGGTCTCTTTGCTCGATTCATGAAAATGTTATTCGACGTCAGTTCGAAATATTAAATATTCTTCAATAACTCTAGAACGAGGTCAATTAAAGTTTTCCAAGACTTCGTTCTTGTAATCAGTCGAACGAAAATGAAACGAGACGATCTGTTCAAAATCGAAACTTCGCGTTGGTGATATTTAAATATTCTTGGCAAAATTGACGTATTTAGTTAATTAAAGATTGTTATTAAAACCAAAAGTTAAGACCTTAATATTATTACAATCGTTTTCTTTTTATTTTAGATAAATAGAAAGTTAACAATGGGTACAGAAAATAATTTAGATGTCCTCGAGAAAGAATAATTTTCATCGTTATATATTTCGTTGCATTTCTTAAATTTTTTGTAACAAACGCACGCACTGTTCTATTTATTATTTATTATTGGTAACACCGAGGAAAATGAGAAACAAGAATCTTCTTTACCAAAGTTTGTTCTCAGGAAATTGTTTCTATTTTGCTAATTTCATCGATCGTCGCCAAGGAAAGTGCAACGTCAAAAATCCTGACCGACTCGAGCCCGCGACTAATACAGAATTATTATGGGAATTGTTGAGGCTTAACAAAGTATATTATATATACATATATATATATACATATATATTATATGATAATATTATTGACTATCGTAGTGGAATTGCAACTCGTACCTACCAGAGAGGCCTCGAGCGCGCGCAAATTAATCCACTCGCTTGCACGCGTGTGCGCGTGCGCGCGCGAGCGCCGCGAAAAGAATAAAAAAACATATAAATTATGCGATATTTTCAAACAGTTAATAAACATAGAGATCGCGTGCTTAGTAATTGGGCCTGATCACTTCGAGCTCGAGCCGACGAGGGATCGCGGACGATCGCGCGGGAAAACCGTGATCGAGAAAGAAAGAAAGGATTCTCGTGGGAATTTCGTGAAAGTGTGAAACGAATTCGCGATCTCGAACACGGATAATCGTTTGTTTGCACAGCGGATCACGTGCAAATTGTTTGCTGACTCGTTCGTGCCGGCATAGTTCATTTCGAGAGCGACCATCTTCTTGGAAATACGCTACCCAACAAAAATAATGAGACCTGCGAAAACATGAAACGTTTTTCTTGGAGAATTATTAGAGCTAATTCCGAGCAAAGAATAATTTTCATCTTTACACGTTTCATTGCAGTTGTTTTATTTTTTAAATTAGTAAAACGTTTTTGAGGATGCAAGACTCCTTCCTAAATATTTCACTTTTCCGTTTCTACGAATAACGATGTTATTGAAACCTAATCTCGATACGTTGTGTTAGAATCTACCCTCTTAGTTTAATTTAAAACTTAACGAGGGGTATAAACAATTATTTAGACGGTCTCGTACTTTTGTCCAGTAGCGTAAACGACAATTAGGAAACTCTGGACTATTTTTCGTACGAGAGCACGCTTTTTCACGAATGTCGTACATTCACAGAATCACTGTAATTTTCTACGGTCGACAGACAATTATTGCGAGCAGAAACAGCGAGATTTTCTAAGAAAACAATATATTCGTGTATTTATCGTTTCGATCTCGAGTTTCTCGACTGTCGCGTACGCTCGTGTAGATTCCGTTTCGATCGTTGGACGACTCGAATAATAAGGAATTCGATTTATACGTGTGTTAGTACAGCGGTTTCTGAATCTTTCATTTGTATTTCCTTGATTTTCTAACTCTATTTAAATTCTGACGATCCAAAAGTCTCTTTCGCTGTGATAAATTCCCCGAATAGACCGTTTTATAATTTATTTGAGCGCGAAGATGAAATTCATTTTGTAAATAATCGTTGATCTAGGATAATAGGACAGTCTCGATGAAATCTTGTTTTGAATTTGCTAACTTCGATTTAAAACGTTTGTAAATATTAGAGACTCGAACGTTTCTTTGGTGCAACCGTTTCTGGGAACCGCTCTGTTAGGAAAAAAAAACATTTATAACATAATCATTACCGCAATAATTGTATTTAAACGAGTAGTGGTTACTGATTATTATTCGTGGGTAAACGTAGCGTTGTTGTTGTGATAGTTACGATTGACGCGTCTTGTTTAGTATCTCTACCTGTTACCAGTTAAATGTAGCTTACGATTTATCGACGAGTCCATGCGTCGCGACTTTGAAACCGATCGTCCGCGATCGTCTCGCTTTAAAAAAAAAAAAAAAACCGTGCAAGCTTACGTAGAATTGTCGCGTGTGTGTAACGAGAAAAATCGATCCTAGAAGGCGAGTCGATATGGAAAAAAAAACATAATCGAGCAACGATCTAGTGAGAGGTATCGACGATTCAAAAATTCAGCGAACAAAAAAAAATAATGTTATTTTTCAATTTGTTTCTCGATTTTATTCGATGTTACTAACCGTGTGCTCTTTCCAACACCAGTTTCAACATATTTCGGTAAATAATACGATAAGCGTCTTAACACATTGTGAACCGACTTTGTAATTAAAAAGTTCCACGTTTCGACTTCGATCTTTCTAAATTTTGTAACGTTTTGTGTAACGGAATTCGAAAATAACGCTAACTATTAGTGAATAAGTACATTGTTCGATTTGATTGCCCGAAAGATGATACGCGAGTGGCAAAAGAATCGCAGTCGTTGGTGTCACTTTGTATTGAACTTTTTTCTATCCCTGTTTGGTCGACAATGTGTTAACATAATCAAAAGGTTACTCTAATTAAATCAGGTTAAAGCATTAAACAAACTATTTCACACAAAACAACGCGTTATTTTGTTAAGACTTCGTGCAAAGTTAAATTTGTGATATATTCTCTACAAGGGACGGCCCGTTGCCATTCCCGATCTAGACGTTTAATTCTCAATAAAGGATAATCTATCCAAATTAAACGGAGGCATAGTATCGTCGAACAAATTCTAATGTTCCGCATCTCCAATATCGCTAGTTTCCACCGAAAGTGATACAACTTCAAATTCCTCGAGTTTGAATGTCTCCACGAGCGGCGATGAACATAAAAAGTACAAAGCATTTTCATTACGAGAAGAAAATACATTTGCAATTTTATCGGTTTTGTTATTATTACGAATGTCAGCGAAGAGGAAGTACGAAAAATCGCTTCTTGCAACGAATGAATCGAACAGATTCCTCTCGAAGAAATAATCACCAAAGGAAAACCGAAGTTCTTTGTCGTTGGTACGCCATCGCGAACGAGAAAAACGATATTCAGAACTATGTGACCGGACGTGTGCACGATGTATTGTGGTAAATGTGCCAAAACAGAAAAAAAACGCAGAATAAAATAGCGGCCCGCAATATGAGATCACGTCGCGAAAGCAACGCTCTAATAGAAGATACGAAGAAACGAAAGAGAAGAAGAAAACAACAATCGAAGAGAAGAAACGGAGTTTCGTTACCGAGGTGTGCACCAGAGTTGTTTCCTTCGATGTTATTTCGTAGAACGCGCGAGGAAACGTAATTGCAATTAATTTGAATTGCAATTGAACGAATCGCGGCCAAAAGATCGAGGAACTTATATAACGAAAAAAAAAAAAGAAAATCGAACGAAGAAGAAATCGATAGTAACTAGCTGCTTTTCGGCTGAAAAACAAAAAGATAAAAAAAAAATAAATAAATATACCTCGTGCTAGTATTTCTTCCCTTTTTTTCGAAGCTACGTTTTCTAAAAAGCATCCTCGTTCGTTCGTCGTCCCAGGCGAAGATTAAAGCTAAAACGAAACGAGAATAGACGACGGAATTCGAGAACTGGGACGCGAACAAAGGAACGGAAAGATATTTTTGTAAAAGCCTTCGATGTACTGCAATCACAGGAACGATTCGAAGATCTCAGCTAACATATCCGACAATGCCTTACCGCTTTAAACGAGAGAACACTTTGGGGAAAGCGTTGCGAATTATCGAGGGTTCGTAGGGAAGTGTTCGCCCGAACTTCCGGTTGGTCGACGCACGTGGAGACGGTACGGTGCGAGGAACGACGAAATTTGTCGATTTTGATAAACTTTTTTAATTGGCGGATCGAACGGACGGGGCGACGCGAATGCGCGCTAGCAATCTTCTTTTTATTCCATTGTAACAAAATGCAATAGAACATAACACGGGGAAAAGGTAAAATAAATTATAATTAAATTTATAGCACGATTCGTCTTCAAATTTTGTATGTTCGAAGAATTTTGTCGAAGTGCCCCTTCTACTTTTATAGATTATAAACATTTTATTGTAGCTTTCGGTTATTTTGAAATTACAATTGTAACTTCAGGTTTGTGTCAATTACATTTCCACTGATGAAACCAAGTGATGATCGAAAGCTATAATAAATTTCCCCTATTCCCTCTATTTTGTGTTCAATTTAATTCGTAACGTTAAATGTACGCAACCGAAAGAGAAATTTCAGCCGACATCAGCACGTTTCCCGCCATTCCGTCTGTTCGATCGCGAGAAACTATATCAAACACAGAATGCGAAACGAAGAATTAAAAACTGCCAAAACATTACAATTACCTCAGCGATCAGGATGCCCGTCGTCTCGCACGGTACACGTTTCACGATCGTCGATGTTCCAATCCTGTCGAAATAAGAACGAACATACAGTTACTCGTATTCGTGCACAATAATAGTGATTCGCTATAAATGAAGAAAAAAAACTTGTTTCTTACGAATCTAACCGTTGTGTTTGAAACTGGTTACGTATTGTTGATTTGTAATAAACATCGTTTGGTAAAAATAAATGGAAAGAATTCGTAAAAAACAAGTTTCTTTCCATTTATAGCAGATCACCATTCCACTGTACGAATACGAGTGGAAGTTAAAACTTGTAGATCCCTCCGGTAGCTATTTTTCCACGCCAGTTGTCCGTTTGACGGAAGTTCGCTCTCGATCGATCGCTTTCCAATTCTCAAAACACACGAGCACAGCAAGAAAAAAAAGAAAAAAAATCAAACACGATCGAAGAACCTCTCTTACCCCCTGGTAGCGTCGAGTCGTCGACGTCGTTCGATCCGACGAAATAATCGCGCGTAAACGCGATTAAACGAGTTTACCTCGAAAGATGAAAGCGTCTCGCGTCCGTGCACGCCGGACGAGCGTGTTTCGACAAAGCGAAAAGAGAGAAAAAAAAAACGCGATGCCAAGGCCCGATTTCTACGTTGAAAAATATGATAGAGTCGCTAGACGACTGAGCCACCTTTCTCCGACAAAAGCGGCGCGCGTGCCGTGTTTCCTTCTGTGGAAGAAAATCGGTTTCCAGTATTCGTCGCGCCCGACCACGCGTCGAAGTCTCCGGCCGTCGATCAGAACGATCTCTGCTCTAGCGGTTCAGCGACTCCGACGCTCGATACGGAAACACCGGAAATCGACCATCTCGGCGCGGCAGATTTGTTCGTTAATTAATTTCCCGGGTCGTTTAGAGAAATTGTACGCTGGTGTTCGAGACGAATCCCTCGTGGAGGAACCGAGAAACCAGTCGCGATAGATCGTAGGTGTTCCGATATAGAGAGTTTACCGACGATTAACGACGCGTCCTTAGTTTTAGCTACCGCAGATACGCGCGACAGAGACAGAGAGTAAAATCTAGCAAAGCGATTTATTTTTTCAAAGAGAGAGAGAGACAAAACCCGAGACACGAACTCGTACCATAAAACCTGTTCAGCTTTCGCACACGTTCGCCATCCGCAAACTTGCTTTTTCTCGATCGGCCGTGGGTGCAGCGAGCCATTGAAATCGGACCTCCGCCGATCGAAAGCGATTCGTAGCGCCGATGAAAGGCGACCAGATCTTCTGGCGGACGTTAGAAAGAAACGCGGAGGTGGTGGGGGAGCACGAGGGAAACGAGATTTCGTTTTCTCTAGGGCGATCCGGGAAGCGTGTTAGCGTGTCGTTGTTTGAAGTAAAGTAAATTTAGAAAACTAATCTAATCGAGAATTTGTAGGAAACGTTACTCTGTTTAGAAGATTGAGGAAATAGAACTCGCTGCATCCGCGGTGCAAAGCTCGCCGCGCGTCGACCGGAGAACAAAACACGAATATTTCGACTTCAGCTTCGTTCATGCTAGGGCTGGGACCTTTTCTTCGACTTTATTCGGATATTCGAACACTTGCACAAATGTTATCCAAACGCTTAACTATTCGAATATTATTTAAATCTAATACTTGACTGTTCGAGAAATTTGTGTATTATCGAGTATCTGGATATTCGAATAGTAACATTCGAACAATGATATTTAAATATCAATGTTAATGAATAGTGATACAGAAAAGCTCTATTGTTCGAAAGTTTTGTTATCTAAACAGAATGGTACGAACTTTATTCGAATACCAGGATATTTGAATAGTAAAACAATGATATTTAAATATCAATGTTGAAATAACATTTTAATATTGATGTTCGAATAGTGATACAGAAAAGCTCTATTGTTCGAACGTTTTGTTATCCAAACAGAATGGTACGAACTTTATTCGAATACCAGGATATTTGAATAGTAAAATATTCCAATAATGAATGTTTGATAATGTTCAAACGACAACATTGAAATAGTAATATTCGAATAGTTACAATCGAATGCAAGAATATTGGAAGTTTATTGGTAGTATTGAGATACTAATACGTGAACTGTTTGGAATAAAATCCCAGCGCTAGTTCATACCTTCGCAATCAAGCCGAGACATCGCGCAGAAAAATAACGCCATGGAACAGGGGACGATTCGCGAGACGAGTATCATCGAGGCGTAAACGCGAAACCGATCCGATTACCACTTGAGACAAACGCTAACCGAATTGTAAAGCAGATAAAACTGTACTCGTAACGTTTCAAGGAGCACTGTACATAAGCAAAACGCTCGTTCATACGCATTTCATAGATCACTCCTTTTTGCAGCCGATTTCGTACACCTTAGCGACACACGCGATGAACACTATCTCCACACGGACATACACACACGTACACGAACAGATACTTGAATAGCACACGTACGAATAAACAAGAATGCGCGAACGTTCCACCAGGTGAGAACAACGAGTCGTCTAGCGTTAATTAACGACCCGTCGATTACTATACTCATCGTCGTGGAACGAAAACAGAAATCGCGGATGAACGGCACACGTACAGGAACCACCGGGTGTGAAGGAAATTTGTGTTGCGATTTTGTCAGGACAATAGATTTTAGACCTGAAATTTTTTATTTTTTTTTTTAGAGAAACGAGCAAACATTTCATTCGCGACGTTTCATGCAAGCTTGGACTTTCGTTGGAGGCAAAATTTTACTAATTTTCTTTTCTTTTCTTTTCAAATGTCTACCTCGTTGGAGGGAGTTTCGTAACTTCGCGCGTTTCCGTGAATTTTTGAAAAATCGTGTTACGCCTGGGTTAAGTCTCGACTAATAAATAAATCATTGTCAATTCAAAGTCTGCGATTCCAGGAAATGTGTAATTTTTCTTTAGAAAAATGCGTTAAAATAGGCCTATAAAAACGTTAGCCAACAAAACTAGTTTCTCGTAGGAATAAATTTCAGTTTGATCGACTGTTAATTTAAAAAATGATCGTTGAAAAAACTGTCGCTATATATAGGTTTCTTTCCGTTGAATAAAAACTACCTCTGTGAAAACCCCTGACATTATCTTGATCAGGAAACAGCATGAAAATAAAAATAGTTTTCAATTAAAACGGTTTAGTCGATGTAGAGGTTTTCATCTACGAAATTAGATGTAACAACTGCCCGATCGTAATAATAATTTAACAATGACAGGACACTTACTTTCTTTACACTCTGTACATACATACACAAACACCCACAAACACGCATGTAATATACGTAAGAGGACAAGAAAGATTTATCGTTTCTACGCGCAGACAGCACGGCCGTGTTGTTTAGTTATTGTTAATCGCGAATACTTTAATTGCCCGTTCAATTGTTGTTGCTCATTACTGTTACCATCATGATTACTATTATTGAAAGTTACGCGTGTAATTATTTTCACCGCAGACGCGATTATTTTTTTGCGTCTCGTTATTACGATTATTATTATTGTTATCATGACTGCGGCGATGGCGATTATTATTGTAATTGAAATAAAACGTTCATCAAGAAGAAATGTGAATTCCTTAAAACCTATGGATCTACGTTTCCATTTGCGAATTTAAAAATTAATACAAGAGTTTCTTTATATTCGCAAGATTCTTTTATTATTTAATTTTTATTTTTTCTTAGTACGAACCACAGACGAGGTATACGAGTAGACCTTTCACCTTATCGACTTTCGCGGACGAATCTGACTGCCATACCGACCTGAAAATTGGAAGCTGATTTTAGCAGCCTCTTCTCATGGATGGTGGTCAGTTGAGAAACTATTCACTGAATTAGTATTGATAGACAAACAGTGTAGTGTTGCGTAAATACATGTGAGTTGACTATGGAAGAGATTAAAATTCATTTCTGAATCTGTTGGTAACGTTGCGAGTGACACGAAAATGGTAATGGGGTTTCGAAGACCTCATAAAAATAGGCCGCAAAAATACATTGGATGAAGGATCTACTTTTATACCACATCTGTGACAATACTCTAGAATCTTTGATGAATCAATGAGAATCAAAACTAACCTAGCGAAGAAACTCTATATTTATGATGATCTATGCAAAGCGGATCGCAGCCAATTTGCTAATATTATTTAGTTTTTAATTAATAATTGCATTACCCAGCTAAAAGTGATACGATTATTAATTAAACGCTAAATAATATTACCCAGGTCTCACCACGTGGAGGTTGCTGCGAATGGAGACCCGCCCTAACCGAATCCCAACCACCCTCCATTAGTAAAGATCTTTTATGACCAGCAATCGTTCGTCGAAAAAGCAATAAACGAAAGTGCAACCAACGAAGGTAACAACCAACGAAAGAGTTTTTTGAGAAAGAATTTGCCTCTAAATTCTCATCAACAAAACAGAGAAATAGACCAAAATATTGCCTGCCTGATATAATCATTAATACAGAGAACCAAATTCCTATCTAACTATAAATCTAAAGTCGATTACATCCTACCTATCTAATTATCTAAGAAAATACATAGGAAATGTATTCTTCCTTGTTGATCCTTCGACGAAGATTTCCTGAAACATACTGTTACATTCTACCTAACTATAAATCTAAATTATTAAAACATAAACTAAGCAGTCTGAAACAAAATACATGAAATACATTATTTTCTCTTCTATCTTCTATTTACCCCACGATGATTTCCTGAAACACAAGCAAAGCAATATCAAACAAAATTGTAACAATTCTTAATTGTTACTTCTATAAACCTAAAACTTCCATAGGAATATGCTCTGTAACAGAAACTTGTTTAATAGATTAGTAAGAGAATCTGTACAACACTAAATCTGTAAAACTACAAATACTACAACTACAGGCAAGTGCAGTGAGATAGTAAAAATAGTACATAATATACGAGGTTACTTTCACTCTAAAATGTATTCGTCGCGAAATATCTTCTTGCACGTCAATCTAATGATATATTTTAATAAGTAAAGAAAGACAATGGGTATCTTCGATATCGAAGATACCCAAAGTCGTCAACTCAATTATGAAAGTGAATTTAATTATTGAAGAATGTAAAGAACAATCGGAAGCTACTAATTTGACACTCATTCTAAAATTAATATAATTATAAGTATTATAAAAGATATTAAAATCATGACTCTACTTTCGATTGATATTACGATATTTGTCATATTAAAAATTGCGGCGTGTAAAAACATCGCACGCTTAAATAAAACGCGACGCGACACGTGCTCATAGCGTGCAGTGAGTGTGGGTATCAGATTGATCCCCCCCGGCCTTGATTATCAGAAAAGCAAGTCACGCCCCTGACTCATGTCTATCGGGCTTCTCTACGTACAACCGCCGGGTCCTGGAGGACACACGATCACAACAGGACCCGCTTAGTACTCGAGAACGGATATGAGTCAAGAACTCTCACCGGAGGTCATTCTCTTTTCCGTATAAAGAGGAGAATATATGCGCTCGGTGAGGCCCCACTTAAGCTGAACCAAGCTGCACCGGGGTTGAAGCGGTAAGAGCTATCACACCTACTACACAGGTGTCACATGTTTCATTCTATCAAACAGAGGTGATCGAGCAAAACTCTCCGGTCCTTTCGGTCGAGACATAATCTCGGAAAGCGAGAACCAGAGAACGAGCGGACGAAAGAAAGTGAACTACTCATATATGTATATGTACTCATTGTATATTCATTTTAAAATTAGTGTCAAATTAAAAATGAATCTACTATGACATTTGTCATCTTAAAAATCGCGGTGTGCAAGAAGATTATAATTTTAAGCAAAAGATATTAACTACACTTGCCAAAGAAAGCACGTATACAACCAGTTGTTTTACCCCTTTGCCTTACGATTTAATTTCCAACTGTGCGTGGCAAAAGCGTCATCAAGGTTTGGCCCGGTAGACTTATCACTTCTCTGAGACGTCTTGTTCATGTTTGGCCCGGTAGACTCATCATGTCTCTGAAACATCATTAAGCTAAAGGGTTAAAAAGGAGGTTTTTAAACACTTAAAAATGACCTATCACCTAGCTTAAAAATAAAAATTCATGATATTGTATAGAAACAAATATAGTATACGATTGAAAACAATGTTACATTAATATATCCTGCAATATTATACATATCGAAGCAGTCACATAAATTCGAAGAACAATGTAAAAGTGGAAACACAGAAAAGAAACATTCATAGTAACCAAATAAAATCAGATAGATAAATGAAGTTGAATTCACATCAAACAAACAAATAAAAATAATAAAATATAAATAAGTGGAGTGGACTTACTACTTGTTGTCAGTACATAGAATAGTTACCACTGGGCCAGCTGTAAAGTAAGAAAATATTCATATTATAGCAACGTCAGTTAGGCAAGCAAGGCAAAATCAGTTTATTGAAGCGAAATTGATATCAAACGATAAAATAAAGGAGGGGAGAGAATTTTTAAACAGTTCTTACCGTAGTCATCACCGTCCGGCACTGGTCAGTAGTGGTCAGCAGTAGTCAGTAGTGGTCAGTAGTGGTCAGTAGTGACAGGAACGCGAGTCATTATTGGTCAGTATTGGTCAGTATTGGTCAGCCATGGCCAGCGCTGGCCAGTAATGGTCATCAGCGGTCCCCGGTTCACTTCTGGCTATTTGCCCACTCCCGAATCCGCGACGCGACTGAAGAATTCTTCGCAGAGACCCTGCATATATGATTAAGGTGATAAAAGGGTGGGGAGACCAGTCATAGCCAAGGTTGAAGTTAACGGGTAAGACTGTCTTGTCTACAAAGAAACTATTTCGATTGGTCCCACCTCTCGACCATTTCTGGATCTTCACTGAACTGCTGACCTTGATGTCAACCTCACTGTTGACCAGCAGTGACCATAAGCTAGTCATCGTTGATCATCGACCTAATAAAACCATTACGAAGATTAAAGCCTTCTTACGAGGATTCCCTTACAATTTGATGCATGATCTTTTTAACATTTTGTTCCACTTTGGAAGAGTGTATCTCATGTTATAAGACACTCATGGTACAGCTTGATCGCCACACAGTTGACCGCCATCCACGAAAAGAGGACGCTAGAATCACCTCTCAATTTTTAGGTCGGTATGACAGTAAATTTGAGCCACGAGAGTTCATAAAGTGTAAGTTCAGTGTTATCAGACCGCACACCAGGGTGAAGAAGGTATGTGGAACTATAAGAAGAACGCAGCCATTAGCTCATATTATTTGCTATGTAATTAATAATTATATTAATTACATAGTAAATAATATGACCCAGGTCTCACCGCGTGGAGGTTGCTGCGAATGGAAACCCACCCTAGCCTCGCCCCAACCACCCTTCCTTTGGCGAGGAATTCGAATACCTATCTGATGGAGAAGCTATCGAAAAGTTAGAAACGAGCTACAAAAGGAGAGTTCTTAAAAGAACTGCCCAATCAAGAGATGAAGAACCTAACAAAATGTCAATACATGTGAGATGATACACATGTTTTCTAGAAACGAAATTGAAATGTGCAACTGCACGCACGAACTCTGACCGATGAAAAGATCAAAAACCTAACAAAATGTTGATACATGTGAAATAATCCATCACATGTTTTCTAGAAACGAAATTGGAATGTGCAACTGCACGTATGAATCCTGATTACTAAAGTATCAATATGTACTTTATTATTAATTGTTCCTTTTTAAATAAATACTTGCATTATGACAGTGCCTAACAAGACACTCGTACAAAACGAAGAAAGGATCCTGAAGATCCAACCAGAAATGTGCAACTGCACGTATGGACCTTGCATATTAGAATACCAATATGTATCTTAATATTAATCATTCCCACTTAAATTTACGCACACGTTTCGGTAATATTTAATAAACGGCAGGTGAACGCTTTTTTATCTTATAATCTATATACATACATTTGTACTTATACTCTAACGCAATCTGTAGAAACATGAAGAAATATGAGGAAATATTTTCTTCTTGGTGTCTTCATCAATCCCACGATGTTTTTCTAAAACATACACTCATATCCAATAAAATATATAACTCATATAAAACAAATAAATATGAAAAAATATTTCTTCTTGGTGTCTTGATTAATCCCACGATGTTTCCCTGAAACATAAATCAGACAATAAATAAAATTGTACAAAGAAACTAACTATAATAGAACAAATTCCAAACGCGACTTGTAAGAATAAAAGCAACCCGCGAATGATAATTATTCGCAACACTACCCTGAAAAGCAAACGCGAAAAATAGTAATTCGCAACTCTAATTCGCAATCGCGTTTACTAAAAATTCGCAACGCTATTTTTAAAGCAAACGCCCGGTTCCTAGGTTTGCATAAAGACAATCACAAATCGTATTTATTCGCAGCACTATATATCAACGCGATAAATATTTGTTCGCAACTCTACGAGCAAACGCGAACATTGTATATTATTCGCAACTCTAATTTTAATCAGGGGTTAATAGTACATGTAA